GGGGGGCCCGGCCCCCGCCGCAGGAGACGCCCACCTGAGCCCGGAGTCCGCCACGTCAAACTCGATCAGACGGACGTCCTGGAAGTGGGAGGGGCCGGTCACTCTCTGGTTGGTGACCAGGGGCGCCAGGAAGGGCTGCAGCTCAGAGGGGGGCCCCCGCGGGCCTGGCGTGGCCACGCGCTGCTCCTCGGGGATGGACTGGGGGGCCCCCTGCAGGGGCTGCAGGGTGAAGGTGGAGGGCAGGCTGCGGAGAGGCAAGCGGGTCAGACGAGGGCCGGGAGTGGCCCGAGGGAGGCCCGGGGCCGCCACACTCACGGGACTCCGGGGGGGATCACGCCGAGGCCGGGGGGCGCGGGCTGCAGCGCCAGCACCTTCTCCCACAGGTCCTGCAGCCAGGGGTCGATGGCGGCGTCGGGGCTGCGGGGAGAGGGGCTCAGGCGGGGCTGCAGTGGGTGCCCGCACCCAGCGCCCACACTCACCCCAGCTCGTGCTGGTCGTCGGCCAGGCCCACGGGCAGCAGGGCGCTGCCTCCCAGCTGGAGCAGCCTGCGGTGCAGCTTCTTGGCCACAAAATTAAACCTGTGAAGAGCGAGCAGAAGGCCGGTCGGGGGCTGAGTGGACGCGGCCGGCCGCCAGGGGCCTGGCTGGATGCCAGACGCTGCCACTGTCCTGTGTGGAGGGGCCCGGGCTGCCGGTCCCCGTGGGCCCTCTGAGCTCTGGAAGCCAAAAGACCTCGAACCACGTTCCCATGAAGGCGGGGATCACCCAGGCGGCTGTTGCTGCACCTGGGGAGCCCTCGCTCACCCCCATGCCCGCTTCCCCCGTGGGCTCCTGCTCTCTCTGCCACCCGCCGGCTGGGGTCCTGGCCATGCTCCCCAGGACAGTCCCAGACCCATCCCAACAGCCTGCCCGGCCCACTCACTGAGGGTAGGAGGAGTCCCCGAGGCCCAGGACGGCGAAGTCCAGCTGGCAGAGGGAGGTGGCCGGCAGGCCCTTCCGGAATATGAACCTCCAGAAGCGCTGTGGGAGCAGCTCGTCAGCCCGCCAGCCCGGGTGGGGGTTCGGCTCCCTCCCCAGGGAGGCACAGTGAGGCCCCCCCCTTGCCTGCCACCTGCCCCCTTCTCGATTCAGCTGCCCCTCTGGTCCGTGCCCACCCACGTGGTGGGGCTTTCTTCCCAGGAGTGGCTCTGGGGGCCGAACCCGTGACCGCCGCTGTGCTGCCGAGGCCCCGCGCCGCCTCTGCGCGGGCCCCAGCTCCGTTTGGCTCGCTCCCACCAGGGCCCTGTCCGTTAGGGCCTTTCCTTCCACACGGGCTGCCCCGCTGGCCTTTTGGACTGAGGTGGCAGAAAGTGGCTGGGTCCTGCCACCCAGGGCGTCTCAGGCTGGACACTGGCGGGACCCTTCCCAGCAGCCCCTGCTTTGCAGGGCTCCCCCCTGCGCCGGAGGTGCGTGCGGCCAGTGTCCTCAGGGCCTCGGCAAGAAGGCCAGTCCAGAGGCAGCGAGCTACGGCCCACCGAGGCCGCCCTCCCCTCCCCGCTTCCACTGGCTGCCCGCTGCCGTCTTCCACGCGGAGTGGGCAGCTGGCCCTGCCTGCCCTGCGGCAGTGCCGGCCCTCTGGTCTCACCCCTGGGGCTCCCTGTGGCCCCGGCCCTACATCTCAGCCCCTCCCCCAGCAGCACCGACCGCCCGGCCACCACCTGCACACAGGCTGGTGTCCAGGCCGCTCGATCCTGAGCCTCTTCCGAACCGCCTGGAGCGAAGGTGCTTGTGGGAGGCAGCTCTTCCTGCTCGCCCTGGACGGGCCCCAGGACAGCCCTGGCCAGGCCACTCCACTGGGCCCCGCGGTGTGACCGGCCCCTGTCCGTGTCGCCTCTCCCGCAGCTGTTTGCGGGCTCCGGGCCTCAGCTTCCAGGGCGAGCGGGCGCTTCGTCCTCACGCGCCTGTCGGCCAGCGCAGCCTAACCTCCTCCAGGCTGAGGAGCTCTGGCCCGTCCGGGGGCCCCGAGCCCCGCCTCGATTCACCCCTCGCCGGTTCCTGAGGAGTCGGGTCCGGCCCCACAGCGAGCCCCGCCCCAGACGCCGGCCCTCCGGCTGGCATCCTGTGGTCTGTGCCACCGCCCCTGGCCACCTGGTCTCAGCTCAGCCGTGGGGACCTGCTGCCCGCTGTGCCCGGGGGTGGGGGGGCAGGCCATGTCGCTGCTCCGGAAGGCCCCTTCCTGGCGCCTGGCCAGCCCCCACTGCCCTTCGGGACTCAGCCTGCAGCCTTTTCTTCCGGAAAGCTCTCCTTGGACCCCCAGGTTGGGCTGGACAGCTGCCCCGCGGCGCCGCGGTGGAGGTGTGGGCGGGGGCCTTGGTCCAGGATGCCCAGGATGGCCAGGGCCGGTCCTGCAGGCCCTCACGGCAGCGCGCCGC